CACTTATAAGGATGCATTTTGCTTGTGCTGCTATGAGGGTGCAGAAAGTATCTAGCATCCAAAATTAATTTTCTTAATTTATGCTGAGCCTCGGCTGGGATTGTCAATTCTTGGGCATTGACAGTGTATTTTCGACGAAAAAGTATCAAAGCTGCTCATAAAAAACTATCACTCGTTCGGAGGCGGCTTAGAATGATCTGTACCCCTCGCCATTTTTTAGATAAACATAAATGCACACACCACAATATTACTTATATATGTATATCTCTGTCGAAACCCTTAGGAGGCCGAACAGAAAAACTAGATGTTTTGCTTTTATTTAAACGCCCAAAAAGCACCAAGTGAACTGTACCGATCGACTCCGATCAGAATTAATAAAAACTTGTTTATCGAGATTTTGCTGCTAAAACCCAAAACATGGAATATTTCAATTAGCTGCATGCTGGTATAAGGTCATGGTCAGTATACACCTCCCTAATTAACATTTTATATTAACATAAAATAATTGCTTTACAGTTCTACTCCTGTTATCAGTTGCATGGCATACATACAAATTTTCATTGAAATAACTAAAAGCCAGTGAAATTAGCTTGCGTCCCAAAGAAAAAGTCGTAAGGACAAGCGTAACTCAACTCGCCATTCTAAGCGCAATGATATGTATTTCCATCCCAATCCTAACTTAATGTTATCCTCATGCCATTCGAAATCACTCAGCTCGGCTTTAATTCTTTAATGGTATATGAAATCACATTCAAACATATTATTCAAATTTATAAAAATATGGTATAAAATATTTTTAATAATTGCAATAAAAAGTACATTTTAAATTTTTTGGTTTTATTGAAAAAAAATAAAATAAATTATTATAATAAAAAAAATCTACATTAAATTGAATTTTATAAGAGTTTGCCGATAACAATTGATAAATTAATTAATAATTCATAAATGAATTAATATTAAGTATATTTATTTATTAGTAAATAATAAAACTAATTATTTATACACTCACCCACGCGACGTACTTATACACATAATCCCAAAATATGGATAACACCAACGATATTCAATAATTGTCAGTCAAAGGTATGTATGATGTATGTATGTATATACATATGTAGCAACATGAGATACGTTGATGTGAGTGATAGTATTTATATTTAATATTTTGTTTTCGCAATATTTTTTTTTTATTATTTTTCATTTCACACGATTTTTCACAATCGTATTTTTGTCATAACGATTCCAATTTGCGGTTCAACGCCAACAACAAAAACAACAATAATAATAACGATTCATATGCATCGTTCGTTCCGTTCCATCCATGGCAAAAAGAAGAGGCGTTGTAAAAAACGTCGAGTAGAAAAACGCATGGAAAATACAAAAGGCGCATTTCAATTAATTACGCACAGCCTCATGCACCAGATGCAAAATACAAAAGGTTGCTACAACAACAATAACAACACCGACTATTATATGCATTTACAAGGATGTATGTAGATAATTTCCACACGCGGCTATATAAAGAAATGCACAAAACAAGCCCACATACACGTACAATACATACATACAAAATGCAATATATTTATGTACTATGAATACGCTGTGGCGACAAAAACAAAAACAGAGACAAAACAACAACATGCTATCTGTACATCACTACAAAGCAACAACATGAACACCTTGAGTGCCGCCTCCACCAACCATTCAACACATTTACCATTATCTCCGTTTTACTATTCGCTTAACCACATTCACCAGAGCCGCCTACAATTCGCGCACGCACGCACTCATGTAGACACATGTGCGAGTATTTTCCAAAGATTTAAGGTGAGCCTAAGTTCTTTCGAAATAAGCCAAAAAGAGTGTCTTAGCAGGATTTCAACTGCAGCTGAGTGTAAGAAGATGATATGTTCGGAGAAAACAGATATTACTTAAAAATCTTTGAAGAAACTATGGGTTCAACACCTGAATTATTAGTAATCTCTCAATGTAATCTTTAGAGCACATAGAAAGTGTTAACTCATAAAGATGAGGGTTAAGTGTGAGATAGTGGTTTCGTTAATATTTTTGTTAATTTTTCAGTGCTTCGGCACAGTGTAAATGTTATTTATTTCTTTGTAATTCCTAAATAATCGAAGTAGCTAAAAGTCTGGTAATTCATTACTTAATATCCGTTAGATGGCCTCATTTACCTTGCTCGGTTATGAAGGACCAAGTGATCGTCGTAATGACGGGAGCTCCGAAATGAATGATTTCTTATTATTGCAAAAATGGGTCCTGAACAGGGGCCGAGCCAAGATCACTGTAAGAGCGCATGAAAGGTCAAGAAGCACAGATCAGTAACTGAAGGGGCTAAGATTTTGCTGGCCTTAAAAATACATAAACCATTTGGGGGCGTCTTAAGGTAAACTGTAGCTGCTTTCACTTCTACTTCTAATAATCGAACAACAATAGCGCGCCTTGTTCAAGCTATCCGACGCTAATTGGAAATACCAATTTCCAACATGTCGTAAGCAGCATATCCTCTGCCTTTTTTAGTCTTTAAAGTATGTCAGTGTTGCCATATAAGACGTACAGCTCATCGTTCCGTTGACTCTTCTAATGTCAACATCGGTCACGCTTCTACACCATATGACTATAGAAATAAATGAGCGGCTTGCAGAGTTAAGTTTTTGTTTGTAGAGAGAAGATTTTGCATTTCAATTACCTACGCCATCGACAGTAACACCTGTTAGCAAGAGTCACTCACCTCAAGGCTAACATTTTGAATGGTGCTTAAGTTGGTCTCTATACATACGAAATTAACTACGACTTCAAAGTTCGGCATGTTAAAACTGGCGTGAAAGCAAAGGCCAGAATTAAGCATTATAGTGTCGTTATCATTGGCATACGCCGGCAATTGTACACTCCTGTAAAATATTACAACTGGCCATTTAGCTCGTCTAGGAGTCTTGATATAATTCTTAATATTCAGCACACTCGTAGAATACTACCTAACTTAAGTTGTTAGAATTCCACATATTTCCATTCTCCACCATATATAGTCGTTGGTTAAAAAAATATCCCGCGAGATTTTTCAGGAAAGTGTTCTCCTTATTGTTACTCAAAGGTCACATTTAATTGTCATTCTTATTTAGACTCACCTTAATGTCACACATTCTCAATTGAATACGTTTTGTGTATTTTAGTGACTGTAAACCGCATAGAAGCATGCAGCGCATTTCAAGGATGTGCTAACGAATAACGAGAATAACAACCTCAACTACAGATGTTGCCGGAAAAATGAGACCAAAGCAAAGTAGAGTGAAGTAAAAAAGTTTAATTAATTTTTACGAATGTAAACGAGCAGGTCAACGAATATTAAGGTCAAAACGGAAAAAGGATTGTGCCAATATGTGTTGAAAGATATGTGTGAGCTTGAATGTTAAATGAAAAATGTTGATTCCATTATCTGAGTTTCATACAGACTTAAATGTTTTTGGACGGATCCAGCTTGGATATCTCCAAGGGCTACACTTTCCCGAGGAGCTCGCTTGAGCAAAAATGAGATCTTTAAAGGAAAAATTAAAAATAGATGAGGAATTGCAGTGTGGTATGAAATCATTTCAGCACTGCCTATCGAAGAGATTCATTTATGTTCAGCTTTTTTTATCTTATATCATGAATATGGAGCTTTAAATTTTTGTTCAATTTCGCCAATCGCATCGATTTATATCACTTCCTGGCACACAAAAATAAACAGTCAATCGTTCTCGGTGTCACCAGTCAAGAAGATCATGAAAAGAACATATCATTTTAATTTACACTGTAAATTATCGTTTAAATCAAAAGTAAAATCAATGAGAAATACCTGTCGCTACATGTCGAACAAAGTTTGGGTTAGATTATATTTGCTTAAATTAAATATACTTCTATCGGCCATCGGACATATTTTTTCTAAGTCTATTGTTACTCCCATATTTACTTAGGGTTTTGCTCAAGAAGCGAGCTAGTTTTTTTTACTATCTGTCCGCGAACTTCTGACCGCCAACTGTAAAAAATTAGCACTATTTTTATTTACATAGATAACATAGCTAGATACACATTTGATTGTAAGGCTCAAGCATCACCGCGGTAACAGTAACCCAAGCATGTCGGCGGAAATGAAACTGTGTCAACTTCTTAGCTGTGCAATGTTTTTGGCGGATGTACAAAGGTATGCATGAGACCAGATAAGCAAGTGAAACAACAGCGAAACAGGTGGTAAGCTCCAGTCCACAAACGGTACACACTCTATACGCGTTGTACATGCAGGCAAAGAGGCTGAGGAACTCGGCTAACTCGATAGAAGGCAGTGTAAGGCGCATAAGAAGATGAAATGAGTGCCGCTGCTGGCGCTGAGCTCGATGGACGAAACAAGCGAAGCGCAATGAAGAGCTTACAATGTTATGTGATAAAGTGATGTCGCTGCTACGGCTGCTTCTGCTGACGAGACAAGATGTCAGTGAAAATTGTTTAAAGCATATGATAGAGAGCGTGTAAATGAATAGTTAGTTGGGAGCATAGTCGACACCAAGCGCTAAGGCACTGACAAAGCTCGTAATGGATGGCTGGTTGGCGGTTGACGGTTGACGCCTGGGCGCCAAAGTACTGAGCAGTGAATGCATGCAAAGATAGATGGGCAACTGAAAGGATATACAAACCCAGAGACAAACAATAGTGTAAGTATGGGGAATGGGGAGGCGATGGAAATGAAGGATTCAAGAAGGAAAGGAAGAAAGGACGGATGTAAAGTTTGCTGTCTGGTTGGCTTGGTTGGGCAGCTGGTTGTTACAAAGCTTATTTAATGATACATACACGTACATACGTTCATGCATATTACTTTTGGCATGCTATAATCTACACATACAAACACACATTAATATCTATAGTAGGTTGATTAGCGGGTGTGCTGAGTTGATGAGTGGCGGGTGATGGAAAGTCTTTAATGACAGCATGCTCGACTTGAATGACACACTTACTTTTCATTATACGATTTCGGTATTCGTCGTCTCGTTGCATTGTAACACTGCCGCCACCGTTCGAAACCATTGAGCTAACTTGTTCCATAGGTACGATATCCTGAAATGGAAAAACGAAAAAAGTGAAACAATTAATACAACAGCATTCGGTTAATCAACGAAATCAATCGATAACAAGTCAAGTATCATGGTTTTTTAATTGATTTCATACCATCTACTGCATTGGCACGTTGCATACATACGTACGTGCTTGCAAATAACGGTGTAATATAAAAAGTTTTTTTGAACTCCCATCGATTTAAGAGCTAATTAAAAGTAATTTGTTTAAAAGCAAGGAGTATCCATAAGGAGTCATTCATGGGAAGGCATAAGGTGTCCTCCCGTAACTGCAGTTTCGATTTTTAAAAAAGCGAAGAGATGGAACGTTTGCAAGGATTGGGGTGTAAACGAGCACAGTCATACTGAGAATATACGGTTACTGTCGCAGGGCTATAGTCACATCTTGCTCTTGTGCCAGATGCGCACCCTTTGATTGCAGCCGACAGCATACAAACGTCCACTATCCGCGGCAAAGCACATTCTTAAACTGGCTTTTACCAGAGAAGCAAACTCAAGATGGCTGAACAAGATCACGTGTAACGTGACCAAACAGCTATGGCCGAAGCTGGACGCAAAAAATTCCAAACATCTTATCCTTCTCTCCGGTTCTCCATTGGCATAACGTCAGGCATAATAACTGGATAATGTTTAAGGCTTCACGGGAATAGAATGGGATATCATTCTATTGATTTCTGCAGCAGCTGCAGGGATGAATACTGAGGAGGAGACCATCTAGAACTACCTTTGCCACTGCCCAACCCCCATACAAATTTCTTGGGAAACATTTCTTCGATTGTCTCCCTGAGATAGCCTCAGCGAATATCGGAAATCTCATTGCCTTTACAAGGCACACGAAATGGTCCGATCATCTGAGAAGGTGAAGGCAGGAGCCTCAGCAGTATTACAATGGGCCTATTGGACTAAGTGTGCTGCCAGCAGCAGCCGCACCAACCAAACTCAGATGCGCAACCAACTCACTTGGAGGCTTGGCTAACGGCTGAGAAGGAGCGAGTTTCAGTAAATTCACTCTGATATATTCCTTTAAAATTGTTGAATAAAAGGCAAACAACGAAACATTTGGGGGAGAGGTATTCCTGTCAATTAAAGCATTCGAGAGCACAATTATTCGAGCTCAGCATAAAGTTGGTAGGATTGCCCAATTTATTACCGTAAATGATATGAAGAAGCCCCCATCCATCCTTAACGGACCAAAGCAGTTAAACTCAAATTAAACAGATTCAATAAATAATTGTCCTTGGTGTGTCAAAAATATTGCATGCGGCACCTGGGCGGATGTAAACATCACAGCAACGAATTTTTCGCCTATCGCTGAAGTTAAACAGCTGGTCTGGGGTAAAATAAGCAGCTTTGCTTAGAGACGAGATGCCTAGTAGGCCACGAGCCTGAGGTTGGGTGCCAGCAAAACCCTCGAACTCGAAAAAGATCTCAGAGCTCATCCGTCTCGGCAATGAGGAACTACCCGGCAAGATATTCCAAGCTGACGACTGTATTGGAGTCATAAGTTACGGCTTTTACTCCACCACTTTAAAGGTCAATATTTGTGGGAGTGAGTATCAAGATCTCCGCTATTCCAAACTACATCTAAAAGCCAAATGGTGAATGTCAGTGCAAAGGACTTTCGGCCTTTTGGTCTTTCCTCTTAAAAATCATTGAAAGCTGTTCGACAGCTATATACTCCTAAATCTAACCCTAAACTGCTAATTAAGGAAGGGAAAATCTGTCAATAGAGCCTAACATTATTTAGTCGAGAGCGTCGAAACCAGACTTGAATTGAAGGAGCATGCGCTTGATATCTTCCTCCACGTTTAATGGTCTTTCAACAAAATTTTTCCTGAATTCGTAATAGGCATTTCTCAATCATAGGTCTGCAATGGCCTAGAGTGAATCTTGTAGAGTCTCTTGTAAGAAACAATGAAGCTTTATCGCCACTGCTGAGGTTTGAAACAGCAAATACGCCGGACAGCACAGATAGGCGTACACTAATGATTTTGCCCTATCTGCCTCAAAATTCTCTTCACATAGTTGGGAACTGGTGTAAGAACAGCGCTCTTGATGTTAACCTAGGTAAAACAAAAATGGCTCTATTTAAAGCTAAAAGGAGTGGAGACCACTATCTTTACTGGCTTCAAACATCTGGGGATAATCTTAGATAGCAAACTGAACTAGAACCGGAAAGGTCTGCCTATATCTGCACTTTACGCCTGCAAAACGGCGATAGGAAAAATATGGGGCCTTTGACCGGATATCGTGTAACTACATCGAAAGTCAGATTAATTCTACTCTGCGGAGGTACCGTATGGTGGCACTCGTCAAACAACTTAGGAAGAGTTCAAGAGTCGGCTGTTATCCACATAACAGGAGCACTGCCATCAACTGCCTCAGAAACAATGCTAACTCTATTAACTAACCATCATTGAAAGAACTGATTTATAGGACACTCCAGAATACGCAAAAGTGCGGAAGTAGCTGAACTGCAGCCCCTCAATTATGTGCTCCGACAATCTTATGTCCCCGAAAATTAATAGGAAAACACCAAAACCCTCTACCAAGGAGCCAAAGCCGAACGTAAATATATTAAATTGGGCTGTGGAATCTACTCTCGATGTACGAGGAGCGATTAGAAAATATCCGTTATTTTCAAGTTTCGTGAGTTGCGTATGTTCGATTTTCGCTTTTTCCTCTTATGTTGGTACCCTTGTCTGTTAAATATTGCCATGTTGGATTGCCAGTTTGATTTTGTCAGATAAAAAGGTTAGTCATGTTTTGGTGTTTTTGGTCAGAAACGCACAAAATTGTGGAAAAAACAATCATAGATTTTGCACCAGGATAACGCACCATCTCACACACCGATGCTTGTGAGTGAGTTTTTGGCAAAAAACAAAACCGTTATCATGCCTCAACCACTGCATTCACAGAGCTTGCCCCCGCTGACTTTTTCCTCTTCCTAAAACTGAAGGCACAGCTAAAAGGAAAGCGTTTTACTACGATTGAGGAGATAAAAGAAAAATCGGAACAGAAGCTATTGACGATACCAAAAAAACCCGATTCAGAGGTGTTTCGAGGGTTGGAAAAAACGCTGGCATAAGTGTATTATATCTGAGGGGGATTACTTTGAAGGGGAGAAGGTAGTTATTGATGAATAAATAAATGCTTTTTGAATAATTTGAAACTAACGGATATTTTCTGATCACACCTCGTGTATATGTAATTGACCCTTTGTAACCGCTGAAGCGATTTTCGGCCGAGCTCCTCCTCCAATTTATGGTTTTGTGTTTTGATGTTTTTCCAACAACAAATCTTCTATCCACAATAAAACTTGCACACGAAGCTGGTTTTCCTTTGTCCGCAACAAAGTATATGCTTCAGCTGGCCTTTGCCAAAGAAACATACTTAAAAGGGCTGAATAAGATCACTTGTAATCAGACAGCTATGGAAAAAATTGGACACGATAAAAATCAAACATCTTATTCTTCTGGACCCGGTTCTCCACTAACATAACCACAGGTAAAGTGACAGGCCCCAGCTGTTGGGACGAAGAAGAGGGCAGTGTATTGGTTACTACCCCTGTCACTGACATCTGCGCTACACAAATTTTTCGGAGAAGCACTTCGTCGACAATCTGGCTGAGCTAGCTTCAGCAAAAATTGGGAGTCTCGGTACATTTATAAGGCAAGCGAAACGGTTTGAACCCTGAAGATAGGTGCCTCACAGGTATCACATAGGACAATAGGCCCCTAAGTGCGCTTGTGAACTCGAGAAGCTCCTGCTGAGGGGCGACCTCAGTTAAAAAAAAATTCTATAATTTCGGATCTTAGTAAAATCAGGACTCAAACTCTGACCTTTTGAATGTTACTGTTCAATTCTTTAGCGAAAGCTTATTTCGAGATTAAACGAAAAATTTAACAAGGAAATCGCCCGAAACTGACAGACCTGTGGGAACCACTAAATACAGCAGTTTTGTCATATTCTGAACTCAGTTAATGTTCAAAGTTAAAGCGAACATTTTTATTTAGATTGCCATAACTTGATCAGAGGTTTGAGCACTTGGTAGAAAAATAACTTAGTACGTGATAAGTTACAACAAAAGTCCAAAAGAAGTTAAATTATAGTATTAACATCTTTACCGCCAATAAGGATCAACTAGAACAAAATATTTTGTCAAGCCCTGAAATTTATGAATGTCCCAAGCCAAAGAGTTATACTTAATATAAAGGGAGAATTTTTAAGAGCTGTAGGAAAGTTTTTCAAAAAACAAAAACACATAAATTTCAGAAAAAGGTAAGAAATCTTAATTTGAATCGATAGTACGGTCCATGTGATTTCATGTTTGAAGATTATTTCATGCANGGCATACTCTTTCCTACATTTCGACCGGTATCTCATGAAAAAATGCTTCAATGTTTTCCTCCGATGCGTCAATTGAAGCGAGCTTGCTTGCATAGACATTAGATTTAACATAGCCCCACAAAACATAGTCACCGAACTCGCCTCTCAATAAGTCCATAGTTACGCGTTCTATGTGGCATGTGGCACCACATGTCGTGCAAGTCAAGCTCTTGCATTTTAAGCAAAACAAAAGTTTGATGTCAAGGTAGCGCTCACCATTTACAGTTACGTTACGATTCGCATCAAACCGCACCAAACTGTGACTTTTTCTGGATGCATTGGTAGCCTTTGCAATGCTTCTAGCTGATCTTCACTCCAAAGTCGACAATTCTGCTTATTTGCGTACCCGTTAAGCCAAAAATGAGCTTCGTCGCTGAACATAATATTTTTTTTTTAACTTTCTAGACAGAACACGCATTTTGATAACAAAACTAAATAATTTGCTTTGTAAGACGATGCATGGTTAAATTATAGACCAAGCTGAAGATGTTTGATAGTGATACAGAACACAAAACTTGCGTCAGCTGTTTAAGCCAGTGTTGCCAAGAAGATAATAGCTAAAAAAATCCCCCTTTATATGAAGCGGTTGTTTTT